ATTTCAATATTTTTGGAGAAATTATATCATGAAATAGGAAATGAAAATATACATTATTTGCCTGTAAAAACAGGTCAGGTTAATACTAACAAAATATAAGTAGGGATCTTTTGCAGCTTTGCTCAATCTGAGCTTTGTAATTTGTTACACACACTTGTGAACTACTAGTACATTTACTGATAAGATTCATTTCTATTTCCTTATTGGTCCAATGACCATGTGTCTTTTAACCAAAAAAAGACTTACGGTAATCCTCTGTATATTGTCTTTGCTTGTTCTACCATGTTAAGTAAAATGACAGTGGCCCTGAAGGCATTGAGGAAGACAGCAGAACTACAGGAACTCAGAGACAACAATTAGCACAAACAATTATCTTTTTNGGAAGTACATTTGGTGATAAACCCATCAGCATCTGGTTCATAGACAACCCATTCTGATGGACAGCTGTAAAGCCCAAAACAAAAGAGCAAACACAAAAAACCATAATATACAAGGTTCAAATAAATCAGTCAAACACATTTGGAGTGAAATGTAAGTAAAATACAATGGTCTAACTTTCAAATTATAATCTATTCCTTAAAATACCATGAGAATTGATAACCATGATAATTCTTGTGAATAAGCAGAAAAAATGACACCATTTCACTTTGTTTTTATTTCCCATAAGTTTTTGAAAATGGCTATACCACAGCAACCATTACCGATGAACTATTCAATCTTGTAAACTAGTAGATCAAATTCTCTCCCAAATATAACCTTCCTTAATTCTGCAGGATCTAAAAATCTTAACATTAGAGACCTCTTTAACATTATGAAGTTAAAATTTAATAAACAGTATTTTAGTGACCTGAAAGGATAAATAAAGTCTTCCACAAGGCACTGAAATCATGGTTTCAATATTCTTACTTTATGCTAGTACTTCCAGTATACTTCAAAAAGTTCATAGAAAAATAGATTAAAAGATAATATGAACCTTTCCATGTACTTTTTGAAGACCCTTCATACATGAGTGTGCACGTGTATACATTTTCATTTGAACACATGATAGTTCTCTTCTGTTTCTATCAAGAAAAAAAAGAATACAGCCACTAATAAAATAACATTAATGTGTAACAGAACTCTTCTAAATCTCCCCCAATATGTTCATTATTTCCATTTAAGTATTATTTTTTAAAAAGTCTTTCTCCAGAAAGAATCTTTCCAATGATCATATCTTACACTAGAAATAAAACCAATATTCATCATTAAATTTCTGATTCTAGTGTCAGCATAGCATAAAACCATGTGGGAAATATTTTATTTGAAGTAATGGGAACTGAGGTTTGCCAACCTTGGAAGTTTTCATTGATTTGGGAATGGTTATCAAGTAATACATAAAGGGTACTTCAAAAAGTTTGTGGGAAAATTTAAAAATAATATAAATTCTCCATGAACTTTTTGAAGACACCCCTCATACATTCTTATCAACAGTTACAATCATCTCTTATAAAATTAGGAAAATATTTTTTAGACAGGCCAAATAAAGTATTAATACTTAGTATTATTTTGAACTATGTGTGTCAAAAATTAACTTTTTATTTATAATTTTATTACATATAACTTAGCCTAATCTTTAAGTTATCCACTTCAAGAACTCCCAGATAAAGAATTTTTTGCTGTGTGCAAATATTCCTTTGTAATGTATAAAGACACTTCTAGGAAATGTCTTCCTATTTGAAAATATTCTCAACAACCAAATAACTAATACAATCTATGTAATTAGATGAAGTTTATATTATAAACATGAGTTCATAAAATACTGTAATACCTAAATCCTAAAAATACTCCAATAAATATTGGTTTAAAATAAATCCTTTAAATAATATAATAAATGTTGGTTTTATAAACCAAGCTGTTCTCTTTTATATATTCATTTTATTGGAAAAACAATCTTAGATTCTTGTATAGACACAAAATCATCTGTTAATTGAATGGATTTTAACTTAACTCTTAATTTTCTTGGCCATAGGACCAAAATAAAATATTGTGAAAATGTGATGAAATAAAATATAGCCCTACTTTTTAAATTTAATAATAATATGACAATAATATGCATTATTGATTGTTACTGAATCAAATACTAAAATCTAGCCAATGTCAAATTCTTCAATCCATTCATCATCTGAATGACAAAAAATTTTTTTTAAATCTATTGTTTTGAATTTGATTTATTTTAAAAGTTTCCTCTTTGTGGATACCCTCATTAATGCAATAATGAATTTTTAAAAACTAGTGAATTATAAAATTGGCAGAAGTGAGATTAAAGTACTAAAGTTGAATAATTCATAAACACTATAGTTAGATATTAGATATTTGAGAATTGGTTGTGTTTACTTCAGAAACTAATCTAGAAGGTTACTAACTTTTTCTGTTTCATAGCTCAAATCTTTATGTGTGGCATCAGAGAAGGAGTTTATATCAGAACCTGTTAATGTAGAATCATACCTCATGATATTGCAAACTGGGAAACATAATTTTGAGAGATGGCTATTGCTACAGAGCTTCAGAACATGATACATCTAAGATCTATCTGGAATGAGGGTATTTTGATTAGAAAAGCCAGCTGCACCTAATAAAGCTGAAAATGGTGACAAGTAAAAGTATGAGACCTACGGATTCTGTCTGAAGAGCTCTCAGTCCGTGCTGGGGAGCTGGACACGCTGCTGCTGCGATGCGATGAGGGGTGACTGCCAGGCCTTCGGCCCTCCTCCAGAGAGGGGGCAGGCGAGGGGCTGTCGGGAACCCGCTCCTGCACCACCACGGGAGGGAGGGAGGTAGAAAAGAAGTAAATACGCTGGACCTTTACTTAAGGAATGTTAGTTTTCTTAACACGATAAGAAATGGGAAGAGAAAAAGCACATTATTTCATCAACATTTAACTGTACTGAAAGACATCTTTTATTTTGAGCAAAGCCAAACATTGTAGGGAGAGACTGGTTGTGAAACTATGGTTGTATAGCTAAGCATCACTGTAGGAATAGCAAAGAGGGAGCCCAAAGAATACAACCACACATATCCATTAAGAACCCATTATGACATGAAAAAAAAGAAAGAACCCATTAGACAACAAAGAATTAAGAGAACAAAGCAGAATTCAACTCTAGACGCTTATCATTTTGAAGAAATCTTTAAATATATTCTCTTGTTTCAGCAAGTATCTAAGGATCATTTAGTACACAAATTATCAATGTGATTGACCATAATAATAAAACCAGAGGAGTTGTTAACAGGTATTTCATCATGACACTGCTCAGAACGCATTTTAATGCATCATGGAAATGGATTATTTAACATTGAAATTATTTTTTATTTTGATTCAGATAATTCTCAGAGTATCTAACAATCCTACCTCCAATTCAACCACACAAATGCATTAAGTGGAAATTCATGAAATATGAATTAGTTGTGTCCCAGGGAAATCTGGTATTGTGTTTCCTGATAAAATTTTAAGTTAATGTTCATGTCCCACTCCATAGCTCCCCTTCTGACTAAGCTTTGTATCTTCTCCATTAGACTAACTTGCAAGTGCACTGTATAAATGCCTCCAATGAGCTCTTATAATGGAATTACAGATTAAGGAATAAGGTACTCATTTGTTAACACTTTCTATTTTGAGCAACAAGATATATATACCTTCAGATATTAATTGACATAGACCTTGATGAACTGTCTTAACAATAATAAATGTTTAAAAGTGTGGAATTAATACATTAATTCTCATTATGTTGAAAAGACACAAATATTAAAAAAAGAAATCTTTAAAAAGCAAA